GGTCACAGGGATGGGAGGGGAGGAGAATGCGTTATGATCAGGGATGATAATCGGGGTGTGAAATAGTAAATGTATATCAAGGTTGAATGTGAAATAAATTTTGTTCCGTAAATTTGCACCCAAAGCGCACACACACACACACACACACAAACCACCTTGTGCTCATGATGCCAAGTCATCCTGTAAGGATATACAAGGAGTGTTATAAGTGTGATGCAAAAAGGTACATTATTATAACATTCTCTAAAAGTACTCATTGGGGTGAGAATAAATGATGTTAGAATATTCAACTGAACCAACCTGTAGACTCAGTATGACACCAGGAGTAACTCCTTCAAGAGGCCACAACACTTGTACAAGTATGGGACCTTGAGAGATGAAGGGCACTCAGGTGAGGAGGGCTAAGACCAGCCACATCCCCAGAAAGGTAAGAAGCAGAAAAAAAAGTCACGACTGTAGGAAGGAAAGCTATTAACTCTCTAGAACCAGAGGAGAGACGAAGGAAGGGAGAAGCCACAAATGGAACCATAAACACAGTACTCTGGGTCAATGGCATCAGGCTTGATGTACCCAGTGGCTACTGCTTGAGAGAGGGGAGTGGGAGCAGTTATAGGAGGAGTGTTCTGGTTCCCTCGTGCTGCTCTGACAAGAATATACCACAAATGAGATGGCGTGAACAAACAGGAATTTATTCTTTCACAGTTTGGAGGCTTTAAGTCCAAGTTCAAAGTGCCAGGGCCCAGGAACTGGGTGAAAGCCCCTCAGCCTTGGGCTTCAGCTCTGCCTCCTGCTCCTGAGACTGATAAGCCCAAAGTTGATAAGCAAGTAATAAGGCACAGTCCCGATGTTAACCAAACCACATGGCAGGCCGTTAATTCAAGTCCATTAAAAGTCCCAAGATCAGCAGAATATGGCAGGATGCTGAACAGCGACTCAGCTACGTGCAGGGTTCAAGCATGCCATAAGCTAGAGACTATTCTCAAAACTGCTTCTTACTGACAGGAAGCAGACCACATCCCTAAAGCAGCTACTCAGTTGCTCCAATACATTCCACCATGGAGTTAATTACCAATCTACATCCAGCTGCCCAGCCACTCAGCCAGGCCCAGTCAAGGTGACACACAAACTTAACTATCACAAGGGGGCACACCTAATAGAAGGAGGCAGAGGCACTGTTCTCGCTTCAGTCTGTTTTTCTGCAGAATGGCCTGGTCTCACTTACACGCAGAGACAGGCAGCATGGTAACTCATTACTGGGTAAATGAGGTATTTACAGAATAATTCTACCTGCATCTTTGATTTTTTATTTGCATCTAGTACTTTCGTTTAGTAATAGACCAGCACTACTCAAATTGTGGTCCACAGGCAGGTGCCAGTCTGAAAATGGTTTGTTACTGGTCCATGCATGACAGGACTGAACTTGAGAGTAGGCCTTTAGAAACTCTTACAACAATCTGATACTGCCATGATAGTTGGACTGTATTTTTACAAAAGCATTGGTTCATGGAGGATTGGAAATTTTAAAAAAGAGTTCTTCGTCACAGAGAGTTTGAGATGGACTATTCTGGAGTCCTTTACAAAGTAGGCACACACACACCAACAGCGAGAGCTGGAGCCAGTGTGAAGTAAAGAACATTATCAAAATGAAAATTCCACATCAAAACTTAAAAACAGAATTTCCTCAACTCAGTAATGCCAGGAGTATTTAATATGTTCTCTAAACTCTAGGAGCTCTGGTAGCATAGTGGCTAAAGCACTTGACTGCTAACCAGAAGGCTGGCGGTTCAAACCCACCAGCCACTCCTCGGAAGGAAGGTTGGGTAATCCTATTTCCGTAGTGATACTGCCTCGGAAACCCAAGGAGGGGTCACTATGAGTCGGGGCCGACTCGACGGCACATAACAACAACAACAACAACAAACTAAGACTCTAAAAAGTTTATACCCCAGAAAAGTGAGCACCTCTTAGGTAACAGGCCCCCGAGAGGCAGGCATGATCACTTTTGGCTCCCGACCGTGGTAGCCAAATTAGAGTTGGTCATAGAGCTAGGAAAGTGTGCCTGGCTCCTAACCCAAGCTCCGTTCATACACCGCACTGGCTCCAAGGCAGCTGTGCGTTCAGGCAGGCTCCACGTCTTTTCACACAAGGAACACGATATGCTAAAATCTAGCTCAGTCCTACTTTTCAAAGCAATTTCTTGCTAAAAACTGCTTCACAAGTCAGACAAAGTGTGTTATAAATGGAAGATGCATTCTTCACCCAAGCTGAAGTTAGATGGACATCAATCAGGGATGGTGGCAAAGGGGTGACTATATACCACGTAATGAATGAAACTAAATGACCCCCAAGTCCCTCTCAACTCTAAGAGCCCATGACTCCCTATCAAAGAACACAATATGATGGGTAGTGCTGCAGAAGCAGATCCAACTCAAACACATTTATATTAATAAAATGCAAGTATTAAATACTGTACCTATGCCTTAAAACATAAATATCATTATTTAAGTTTGGTTTAAATAAAAATATAAATACATTTAAACAATAGCAAGGAGCTCTAGTGGCACAGTGGTTAAGCACTCAGCTGCTAACAGAAAGGTCAGCAGTTCAAACCCACCAGCCACCCTGCAGGAGAAAAATATGGCAGTCTGCTTCATAAAGATTACAGCCTTGGAAAGCCTTGGGCAGTTCTACTCTTGTCCTACAGGGCCATGATGAGCTGTAACCAATTTAATGGCAACAAGTTTGGTTTCTAGTTTTAGAGCTGATATCAAAATTTATCTTCTATAAGGAGCCCTGGCGGCACAGTGGTTAAAGTGCACAGCTGACTAAAAGGTCAGTAGTTCAAACTAACCAGCATGGGAGAAAGATGTGGCAGTCTGCTTCCATAAAGATTTACAGCCTTGGAAATCCTACGGGGCAGTTCTACTCTGTCTTATAAGGTTGCTGTAAGTCAGAATCAACGCAACAGTAATGAGTCTTTGGGAGTTTTTATCATCTTTGAATTTAAAGGTGCTTTTGAACTTATAAAGGAGCTCTGGTAGTATAGTGGGTAAGGCAACTGGTTGCTAACTAGAAGGGCAGCAGTTCAAACCCATCAGCTGCTCCATGGAAGGAAGATGAGGCAATCCACTTTTGTAAAGATTCACAGCTCTGGAAACCCAATGGGGGTTGCTGTGGGTTGGAATCAACTTGATGGCAGTGGCTTTGGTTTTTGTATTGAACTTATCTATCTTCTTTGTGTCCCTGAAAGTGCTTCCTAGGGCAAGTAGAAATGATCCAGGCCATTCCACTATGAGTTACACTCAAAGTTGGGATCGCTCCTCTCGCAAACCATTGCTGCCTGCAGCACCTAAATATTTAAAGAACTTGAACTAAAACCATTTTGAGAATAAAATATTATTACATCCAGTCATCTTCCCCCTCCTCTCCCCTCCCCTCTTGAGGGAGAAAAGACATCAGCAAAGAGCTCACAGAGAGAGTAAGTGAGCAAGGCTGGAACAGCTGGCCCCTCCTCCACCTGGTAGACAGGGGGGCAGGAACAGCCACTAACTGCTATGGAATGAGTCTCAGGAATCTCACATACCAACTGGCAGACCCCATCCCTCCTTGCCCTCCCCTACCTTTATGAATCCATGCTCAGCACCAGTGCCCTGGGATTCTGTTGTAAAAACTATTAGATAATGAAGAAAGAGAGCTCCTCCAAAGTGGAGCATACACATTAAGTACATGGAGTGTGTAGAACATAGAAATCCAAGGCCTGGCCATCCATATGGATAACCAAATTAACGGTATTAGCCTCACATCAACTCACAAACACAGACATCCACACAAGAACCCTCCAAAATCTGCCTGGCCTCCACAACATCCAGGCATGCTCTCCACTCAGTGACTGGGCTTCTGAGATGCTATTACATAGAAATACAGCACCAAGATAAGAAAAGGTAACTATGCAAAAAGATGTTCATCAGTGTTACATGAAAAGTCGAAAACTAGAGATGACCCATGTGTTCACCAATTGGGAAGGGAGCTCTATCAGCATCGGAACGCTTGTGTGCCAGCGTGCAAAGATCAGGAAGCAAAAGCAGAGACATGCAGCTCAGGGCTCCTCTGATTCTGGAAAGTTTCCCTCTCATCCCTGGGAGGCCATACAGGCAGGTGTTCACTCCAGTAAGCGTCTCCTGTCCCTCCAGGGCACTCTGCCCACTCTCTCCTCCAGCCCCTGCTGTGCCTGTTTACACTCTCATCACAGAACCAACATTACACATTACTACACTTGTACGTCCCTGCTACCAGACAATCCTCCCAAAAGGTGGGGGTTGGGATCTATTCATCTCCCCCCACAGTGCCCAGCCCAGTGCAAGCCATACAGCAGGTGTCCCACAGGTGTTCCCCTGAGCCAAACATACCAGTACAGTCCTAGCAGTGTAAACTCAGGGCATAGTCTTAAAGAAAAACGCTGGAAGGAGAGATCATGGTTATTTCTGAGTTACATAACCCACGGTTCATGGTCTCCACTTCTCTCTAGTCTCTTAACTTTTGTATGAACAACATAGTTGATTTTATAAAGGAAAAAGTAAATGTAACCTTAAAGCAAAAAGAACAACCCTTTCCAAGTCATTTTAAAGATACTATACAATGGTTCACAATCACTCCAACTAAGAGGAAGAACCTAGAACCTCAAACAAGCAGATACAACCTTAAACTGGGAGTGCACCTTAAACAAGGAGTTCACCCCGGGTTAACAGACAACACAACCTACTGTACACGCCATTCCCCAATCCTGTCAGGTAACTATAGGATGATCCGACTCGGGAAAAGGAGAATGAATTTTAGTTTATTTGCTCTTGGACAGAGATCCAGATGATGAAGAACTGCCTTCCCAGCTGGCACCCTGCCTACTGGAAGAGAAAGGGAGGTTCTAAAGCACAGTGACCCAGTCAGAAGCAAAACGTGTCTGAAGGACCCGTCAGAAGAGATGCCCAGCCTCTCGCATTGCAGACCTGTGTAGTGCCCCCCTTGCATGGTGCCATGATGATTGCACACAGCATACAGGTCATAGATGTAGTCCTCAGGGTCCCGCCCGAGTCCATAGGGCCGCCTCCATGGGGACCAATGGGATGGCAAACTCCAGCTGCTCTGGCTTCTCTTAACCACATGAGGAGTCATGTCCAGGCCAGTCAAGGGGAACTTGACCATGTTCTGAAGTTTCATACGCCTGTCTCCTTCCTGTTACAAGAAGAAAAACAAGTTCTGATGATATTTTAATGCAAGCAGATAGCAGATCAGCTTAGTGTGGAATGCAGCCCTATCAGCGGAAGAGGTTTGCTTTACCTATCTGAGGCTTCCTAAGATACATACAAAATAGGGAAACAAACTAATAATTTTAATTATCTGGAGGAACAGGTTTTAATACTACTAAAAGTAGAAGCAGTAATAGTTTACATATAAGGGATTAATGAGCCTCTCTGAGTCTTCATTTCCTTATCTGTTAAAGGGCATCAATTCTATTAGTTTTTGCCTTAACAACATTGACAATTTCAGGGGGTTCAGCCTGTTTCATATTTTATGAAAATAAAGGAAGTGATAACACGTGTAAGGGGTGAAGCACAGCGCCTGACACAGAGCAGTCATTCAGTAGCAGTGCCCCTTTCTTCTCCAGCTCTGCCAATAAGTACATTTAAAGTTGTTAACGACGACTTCTCTTCATACATTCATTTATTGATGATCTTAGGTGACTTCTACTTTCCATTAAGCCCACAGGACAATCCTTTGGAAAGCAACCACCAACTGAATAGGTATTTACTGAATATTTCTGCTATCTATAAACCAAAAAAATGAAAACCAAACTCACTACTGTCTATAGGAGGTTAAAAAAATATATGAATCAGACATGGTTAATGCCACCCCAAGGTGCTATGAATCTATTAGGAAAAGGAGACTTCCATAAAGAAAAAGGTAAGATGGATCCTGGATGGTCACAAAGGTCAGGCTGAAGAATTTGGACCTTATTCTGTAGTCAACAGGCAGCCACTGAGCTTTTAAAGGAGAGGCAGTGTCGTCAGAGTTGTGGGTGAAAAGCGTGTAAGCAGTGCGCAAAATACATTAGAAAGGGGGGAGTACTCCAAACCCGCTACGACTGAGTCAACCCCACCTCATAGCAACATTACAGAGAGCAGAGAGACAGAGAAGTGTCCCACAGGGTTTACAAAGTTGTAAATCTTCACCGAAGCAAACCACCTCATCCTTCTCCTATGGGGCACCTAATGGGTCTCAACTGTTGACCTTTTGGTTAGCAGCCAATGTCTCAACCACTGTGCCACCAGACCTCCTAACTGGCTTTAGGAAACCAATTAGAAAACATTGCAATTGCGATCAACTGAAAAGTGACAGAAATCTGAACTGGCAGGGTGACAGCAAGAACAGGAAAAAGGGAACACATATGGAAGTCAATGGTGAAGCACAACCAAGTTGGAGAGGTAACTGCCTAGATGAGCAGACAAGAAAGAAGTCAAAGATGACACTTTTGTCATCTTTTGTGCCTGAGTTGTATGTCTTTAAAAGCAACAGAAAGCAAAGGAAATTAGTCTTGTGTGTGTGGAAGAAGAAAGAGAAGTCTAGGATCCAAACCTTCAACCACCTACCCACCTACAGCTCCCAAAGGAAATATGCAGTTTGCACAGTCAAGGTGATGTGCACGTTTCCTTCTAGGAGCTTAACCCCACCCCACTGTGTGAGACCTCCAGCCCTGCAAATCAGGTGTGGTCACTCTGGATACTTCCACTTTAACAAATCCAAACCCTCTCTCCATCTGGTCACTTCTCTCCAGCTCCACTGCCACAACTCTATTCCAAGCCATTCATTAGCTTCTGTCCCCTGGAAGACTGCAGGGCTCGACAGGTCTCCTGGCCTTCACTCTCGCTGGCCTCTAACTGGTTCTCCACACAGCATACAGGATGGGCTTTTTGAAACACTAATCTGGGCATGTTGATCCTCTGCTTAAAATTCATCATTGGAATCCCACTCTTCCTATAAGGGTCTGCTTGGAAAACTAGTCTACCCACTTCCCTCACCTTAACTCATACCATTCTCCCCCTCCAGCCAAAACCTCTTACTTACCTCTCCCATAATAGAGCTGTCCAGGAACCTAACTTCAGGGAATAGACAACCTACTTGAACATGCTACACATCCTTGAGCACATTACACATCCTTGGGCTCTTTCTGCCAGGGATGCTTGCACACCATATGTGTGCAAACCTGCTCCCACCTCATCTTGTGAATGCCTACTCATCTTCCAGGTGCAAAACTTCTTAAAGCCAGGCCTCACACATTCCTTTACATTTACCTCTTATTCACCTTCCCCACAACAGAGTTGTTCAGGAAAATCCTAACTTCAGGGACTAGACAACCTTTTCGGGAAAAACTAACTCACAAGGCACATTTTCTGTACACATATTTATGATTCATCTCCACACTCCCTGTATACAACAATCCCCTGGAATTATTATTTTAAGTAGAAACAGAATTCTACAACTCCCAGATATAATCCCTAGCCAATTTTTTTTTTAATCCCAAAGTATACATATCAAAATTTAAGTATAACCCTTAAAGCTGCAATTCTAAAGCAAACCCTCAAGAATAAAGTAAAATATGTGCACTATGACCTAAAATGTTCAGTATTTAAGGGATTACAGGATACAGGATTCTCACATTTTGTTTTGGCAAAGAATAAAACACGACCCCAAATACGGGAGCAGATCACCAAAAACCACAGCCGATGTTGTCGAGTCAATTCCAAATCATAGCAACAGGACAGAGCAGAACTGCCCCAGAGACTTACAAAGCCACAGTCTTCATGCAGCACCCCGTTTCTCTCCCCTGGAGCAGCTGATGGGTTAGAATTGCCAACCTTTTGGTTAGCAGCCGAGCGCTTAGCCACTGTGTCACCAGGGCTCCTTAAAGGGGCAGATACATGCTGTAATTTACACAGACAGGCGCCCTGAATCAAACAGAAACACCAGAAAACGCCCCCAGAACCCACCATAGGGGCGTAAGAACCTTGGCCATGGGCGTGCTTTTCTCTGTGGTGCAGGACTGCCTTACCTGCCGGAATCTCTTTAGATGTATGATGAGCACATCAGGCAGAGTCCACAGGCTTAAGGTGATGCTCCCCTGCTGCAGCTGCTTACAGTGAGGGCAACGCCAGGCGTCGTCCGGGGCAAGCTGGAAACAAGGACCACGGCTTCTGTTAGGCGGCACTTCACGCGAGATGCTGCACAGGAAACCACTGGAATAACTGCTTAGCCAGGGCAGGGTACGACTAAGAAACTCTCTGGAAACTGGACTATTGCACATTATTGCAGTAAATGGAAAAAACACAACCAAAAGTGGCATTTGGACAGAGTTGGTACTCAAAGGTTTGCTGAGATTATCCCTCAGAAAGGAACAACTGAACAGGCAAACATTGTATAAAACCAAAAAACCCAAACTCACTGCCATCTAGTCGATTCCAAATCACAGTGACCCCCTTTGGGTTTCCAGGGAAATAAATCTTTAGGAAGCAGACTGCCCAGTCTTCCTTCAGTGGAGTGGCTGATGGGTTTGAACCACCAACCTTCTGCTTAGCAGTCAAAGCCTCAGGCACTACACCGCCAGAGCTCCTTCAAATACTGTATAAAACCAAAAACCAAACTCACTGCCATCGAGTCAGTTCTGACTCACAGTGACCCCTCTTTGGGTTTCCGAAGCAGTATATACGCTACAGAAGTAGACTGCCCAGTCTTTCTCCGAGGAGTGGCTGGTGTGCCTCAACCACCAGCCTTCCAGAGGGTGTTAAATGTCGCAGAAGTCCTCAAATTCAGCAAACCCCTCGCACCTGGCTCATCACCTCTCTGTCCAGTTTGGTTCCTCTCTCCCTCCTATATATTCTCCCTCAACAAACACCACTACTGAGCACCACTTAGCAAAGGCAGAACACGGGGACTATCCCAAACCTTACCCTCTTCGATGTCCATCCAAAGAAATTCTCTGCCATTTCTCATACCAGTCTCCTCATCTTCATGCCCATTAACCCATTGCTGTCAAGTTAATTATGGCTCACAGCGACCCTCCAGGACAGAGGAGAACTACCCCATAGGGTTTCTAAGGCTGTAATCTTTATGGAAGCAGACAGCTACATCTTTCTCCTATAGGTTCAAACCATTGACCTTTCAATTAGCAGTCACAAGCCTAACCCATGTGCCACCAGAGCTCCTTCCATCCTTACTGACACCATCGTAATTCAAAGCCCCCACTCATTTTCTCACCTGGGTTTCTTCAAGTCCCTTAACTGTTCTGTGTCCCTCAAGGGCTGAACTTTTCCAAACAATCCTCTCCTACTACTACCAACAATATCTTTCTATACATCAATCTGAGGCCTCAAAATCTGTGTATGTCACACCTTGGCAGGCAGTGAATTTCAAGAGAGGGATACATTAAGTTCAAGGTGCCAACAGGGCATGTCTGGTGAGAGATTTAAAAAAATCTACTCTGGGGTTCAGAGAATACGTCAGCTCTGGGGCTACCAGCATCATAAGGTAAGGGAGGCCATGGAAATGGACCTGCACCGTGGAGCAAGGGAGGCCAAGGGAGCGGATCGGATCTGCACCGTGGAGCGAGGGAGGCCAAGGGAGCGGACCTGCACTATGGGGCAAGGGAGACCACGGGAGTGGACCTGCATCATAAAGTGAGGGAAGCCATGGGAACACACCTGTACCATGGAGTGAAGGAGGCCATGGAGACAGATGACGCCGTGCACCAAGGGGAGAGAGCCAAGAAATGGGCTTCTTGGGGAAAGTCTATTTTCAAGGGAAACACAAAAACTGAGAAATCACCAAAGCACAGTCAGAGAAAAAGACAATCAGAAACATTCCCTTTCATGCACACCAAAAAAAAGAGAATGTCAAGACAGGGTGGTAATCAGCACTAGCTCCTATGTAGAGGTCAAGTAAGACTGAGCAAAGACCACAGAATTGAGAGAACTTGGGAACAATGAGAACGTCAGAGGCCAGTGTGAGAAATGCAAGTGAGACAGAAGACGGGAAGTTTTGGAGTGAGTGAAAAAGAACAGAGACCACTAATGGCGAAGTCAGGCAGAAAAGGGGAGAAAAGCTAGCATGGTAACTGGAAAGGGAAGCAGAACTGAGGGTCCACCCCCCATCATGGGGAGACCGAATCACGTTCACAGATGAGGAAGGACAGTTTGAGTGACATACTGATAGTCTATGTAAGTGGCTACCTAGGCCAATGTTTTTGGTAAAGGAGCAGGTGTTTGATTTTTCAATCTATGACAAACTGATGCTTCCATAAAATGTACTAAGAATACTGTGGCAATTTCTAGTTGCTATCAAAGTTTCTAAAACTCTTTACTGATTTCTATACTTTCTTGTGAACTGCTAACAAGAGCTCCTGGCCAACCCTGACCTGCAGTCTACACTCTTGAGTATTGCAGGTCTCACTGACTCTGACTAGCACATGAAGGGGGATCTCTCAGTAGGCAGGTTGATCAACACTCAGATACTTTGTTTAAAAGTTCTCCCTGTGGGAAAAGGTAACCACAGACTGCAATCAACGTCATGAAACAAAATGTGTATGAACTGTTGTACAGAAAATGAATTTGCTCTATAAACATCCACCCGGATCACAATTGAAAAAAAGAAAGTCCTTCCTGTGATTTCCAAACTTTAAGTGCCTTCTAGATACAAGTAAGCTCAATTCCTCATCTACAGGGAAGTTGTTGAAGTGTCTGAAAATGATTATCAGATCCTACTAAGGCCTCTTCATCAAAATATATTCAGCCATGTCATGACACTGTGCACTGAGAGGCAAGACAAAAGAGCCAGGACAGATTTTAGACGTGCCACGCCCTGTCTACTCTCTGGATGCACCTCTGTCGCCTTAACAGGAAGTGTCTGAGATGACGTCAAGAGCAGTGCTCTCACCACTTGCTCCGGACTCTGTTTCTAAAGCATCCGACAGCAGCCTGACGCTGGCTGACACTCTGATCAATACTGAGCATGCAGACAACTATACCTCAAAGTCACTGTCACAAGGCCTACTGCTAAATCTCACCTCCTCTTCTCTATAAAAACAAAAAAATTATTCTCATATTGGCACTGCTATTTTGGAACCCAATGACTAAACTTCACACGTGGCACTCATTTACACATTTACTAAACACCTTCTCCATGCCAAGTGCTGCTCTGGATGCTATCATTAGTGACCAAGCAGATGGAGTGTCTGCTCCAACGGGGCTTACATGCTTGTACCTCTCTCCCTCTCCCCTGTGCTCCAGCTACACGGACTTCACTGCTGTTTCTACCCACCAGGTTCCTGCCCCGCCCCCAGGGCATTTTCTTTATTTACTTGTTTACTGTCTCCTTGTCAGGCTGTAAATGGGATGAGGACAGAAACCTTGTCTGTTTGTTCTCTGCTACATCCTCAGGTCCTAGTGCAGTGCCCAGCACAAACAGAGAGAACTAACACCTGTTGGTTATAATGACCTGGGGCACATTACAGGTCAACTTCAGTCACCATCAGAGTTATCCAGAGACAAATGGTTCCCTCTCGAGTAGACAAATGCCTCATAACAAAAGGTATTCAAATAGAGACAGAACAGTCATCTGTTTGAAATTAGGTAGAAGACCAAACCATTACAAAAAAGTTGTTAAAGTCCCCTCCAACACCCAAAACACATTACTTCCTGTACACTACGGGAGACAGTTAACAACAAGTAATCAAAATCATGATCCTAACATCAATACAAGACTTGACAAATTCATTCCAAGTGTTCTAGTCAAGGTTCTTCAAGGTGTATCAGAATCCCCTGGAAAAAATACACAGGTCTCACTGACTCTGACTAGCACATGAAGGGGGATCTCTCAGTAGGCAGCTTGATCAACACTCACCCACAGAGAACTATTTGTTCATGTATCTGCCTGTCCATTCATTCAAATATTTATCAACCCCCTAACTGCAGAGCACTACACTAAGTGATCCACGGCAAAGCAACAGAACTTTCTGTCTATGTCAGTGCCATAAGATATAGGAGCCACTAGCCTTATGTACTTACTGAGCACTTAAAATGTGGCTAATGCAACTGAGAACTAAAGGCTTTTAAGTTTACTTACTTTTAATTAGCTTAAATTTAGGTAGTTTCTGACACCTATGTTCTTAAAAGGAGGTTTGGTGATACAATGGTAAAGCACTCAACTGCTAATCAACAAGGTGGTAATGTGAACCTACCAGTGGCTCTATGGGAGAAAAAACCCAGCAATCTGTTCCTGTAAAGATTTATAGCCTAGGAAGCCCTATGGGGCAGTTCTACTCTGTCCTATAGGGTCACTATGAGTCAGAATCGATTTCATGGCACATGACAAATGTTCCTAGAAAAAGCATCAGAAAGTTGAGAATCACTATTCTAGTCACTATGAAAACTAATTTCAGATTTCTGAATTGAAACATATATCATTAACCATTTTTAAAAAAATGAACTACAAAGGTTCAATTCTAGAGCATTTTGTGAAAATTCTATGTACTTTTTGTTAATGTCCTACAAGGAACAGTACTAAAACACCCATATACGCAGGTGCAGAACCTGTGTATAATGCAAAATCCTTGAGCGTCTTCTGGGGCATAACTTGCTTCTCTATTGTCATCTTGTCAGTGCCCCCTTTACTTCCTCTACGCTCTTCCTCTCCCAGGAATGGTGCGCAGTCTCTTACCCGTTCCTCTTTGGTGTAGAGTTGGAAACACTGGGATAAAGTGCAAGTTTGAGGCTGATGATGACGCTCCTTTTGCAGACGGACACTTTCTGCATCAGGGATATACTCATCTTCAGTATTTACAAACAAGCTGCAGGTAGGGGAGAAAACCATTTATCAGAGACTGCCTTGCAAAACTGACACAAACATACAATTATAGCTCCACAAAGCGGCTGGGAACTTATCACAAAAAGACCAATGAATAAGAAAACAAAAGTGGCAATCCAATTTTTCTATGTTCTAAAACTTCTCTATCTATATGCTAATTTTTTAAAAAATAGCCCGGAGTTGGTTTTTCTAGGATCGGCCATGAACTGTGCTGATGAATTCACAGGTTCTTATCCCTTGTATCTAAGGGTATACACTTGACACAGCTCACTAGAGGCAATGAACCTGGAGTGAAAGAGCAGGGAAACTGGACACTATAATGACTGAATCTATAGCTTCTGCCTCATGAGCAACAAACAAATGTTCTGCGGTTTTGGTGTCTGGAACAGAGAATGGAATGGAAAGGAAAGGAGTAACAAACTGCTTCAATAAAAGATTAACAACACATTTGGATACTTAGCTAAAAAGAAGAAAGATCTGCATTTCAACTAATTCGAAAGGTCAAAAATGTGCTACTGAGATGATATTAAAACAAAGATTGTATAAATATTAAGTAAAATAAACAAATAAATAATACTCACAAATCTTTTGTCTCCTTGTCCCATTCTACTACTAATTTCACATGAGCAGTACCACCTGGTCCACAAGATTTTAATGCCCTATAGGGTGGAGGGGTAGGGGGAAAGCCACACATTGTTTTCTAAATAAATGATTTTATTTCAATGTGATTATGTCCTATCTAAAGTCATAATATAACTATTGAAAACCTTCACATAATTCTCACTAGAGAAAGTTTCTAAGGAGACCATGAAAACCTCAGACTTAGTAACGACATTACATCTGAATTAAAAAATCCTTAATTAAAATAAAGAGACTGGAAGGGATATATGGGATCATGTGATCAGGCTGCCAGTAATCACCCTCAGATGTTCCTTATGCACCTCCTAACCTTCTCTCCAATTTCTCACCAACCCAAATAGAGACCCTCCTCCTAGAAGCAGCCTGCTCTTACACCTCTCCAGCTCCCTGACAGCCTGTGCCTTACACCATCACAGGCCATAAACCCAGTGGACTATGCCCACACTGATCTAAACCATGCCTGCCCTGCAGGGCACCACTCAAGTTCCACCTCCTTCCTTCATCAAGCTTCTTGGGAAACTCTTTTAGCATTCACGGCCAACATCACTCATCTAACATTTTCTACGCGTTGCAGTGTTTTGGATCATCACCTAAACTATTTAAAGTCATATCTCCAAACCCAAGCAGTGAGCTACTTTCAAGCAGGACTATGCTGTATACTTTCTGGAATCCTGAAATGCAGGCACTACAATATTTGTTGAAAAAACTATTATAATGAAAATAATAATGTGAGTGTCTATATTTACCTATCCATATAGGTAGACAAATATACACACACATATACATTAAAGATAAACATCTTATTTCATTAATGGTGCCATCGAGTCAATTTCGACTCACAGTGACCCCTCCTTGGGTTTCTGAGGCGGTATCTCTTCAGAAGTAGATTGCCCAACCTTCCTTCACAGGAATGGCTGGTGAGTTTGAACAGCCAGCCTTTTGGTTAGCAGTCAAATGCCTTAGGCACTACGCCACCAAAAGGGCTCTCACTTTTTGAGTATTATAAATACAACAGAAGAATGTAGAAAGTGCATACTTTCACTGTGGAGTGATTAGTTTCAGAGTGCAGTAATTAATTCGACCAGGGCTAAAGAGGGACAATATGAAGAAAGGATTAAAGGAAAAGAATTATGGACCGAGGAAACCAGACATGCAAAGCACATGTATGAAAGAGTATGGGGTGTTAAACAATCATCAGAACTTTGATACTCCTCAAGGTTTAAGATGGTGGTGACAGGAATAGCAAAACATCACAGAAGGGAGATGTTCAGGGTTCTAACTGTGAACCAAAAGCCCACTGCCAATGAGTCAATTCCAACTCATAGCAACCCTGAAGGACAGAGTAGAACTGTCCCATATGATTTCCAAAGCTGTAAATCTTTACAGAAGCAGACTACCTCATCTTTCTCCCACAGACTGGCTGGTGGATTCGAACCACCGACCTTCTGGTTAGCAGCCCAATGCTTTAACCATAGAACCACCTGAACTCCCTTCAAACTGTCAAGAATTTCATATATTGTGGAACCTGGGCTTTATCTTTTAGACCACAGGGTACCACTGAAAGATTTCAAGGAGGTATGTGACATAAATAGAATTCTACCTTGGAAAACGTCAATCTTGGTAACTATGAAAGTGTAATTTTTCTGGAGTCCTAGGGTATCAGTTCATTTGTTTCCTATCATCAATACTACATGGCTTTTCTGATTTTAAGAAAGAAAGTAATACATGTCATCCACTAATATGCATCAAAAGTAAAATAAACACTTAATTTCTCAACAAGACTGAAGCATCTCCCCCATTTATGTGAAAATCACATCAGACATCACTTGCCATTATATATGAGCATGTAAGACATTCTGGATGATGCGTGGTTTTTAGTTTGTTTTTTTTTTACCTTTCTACTGTTGGATGGCACAGGGGCTGCTCCTCCTGGGGCAACAGGTAGGTTATTCCCACAACACTGACCACACGCAAACTGAATGGGCACACCTACATCGGATGTTAAATGAGAGTTAGGCTCAATTTCCCTTCAAGTGCATCTGCGTCATGGCAGCATTTCCAAAGAAGATTAGAAGGACAGACAGTGTGCATTTTATAAAATACTTCTCTATAACATTCTGTTAGGTTGTTGAACAGTCTAATATACTTTAAATATGATTTACCCAAGTGTAATTGACACATCAGATACGTCACACAAGACCACTAATAACACTGTTTTAGCCGAACATTAACTTGATGACTTTCCTTGGATACCTTAACAAAGCAATCATAATTTTAAATATACGCAGGTATATGTTCTACCAAAACCTCTCCAAGCTTATCATGTGCTAAACTGTACTCAACAAGTATTATAAAGAAATACCCAGCAGCTTAAGGAAAACATCACAGCAGCCAGGTGAAGTCCTCAGTTTTTGAAAATACAGCTGATTTTACTAAACAGCTTTCACCAGGGATTCAAACATCTTAGCTTGGTCTCTGATCTTCCTAAGTACCCAAAAAAAAAAAAAAAAAACAAACTCGCTGCCCTCAAGTCGATTCGATTTGTAGCAACCCCTCCTTGGGTTTCTAAGGCAGTATCTCTACAGAAGTAGACTGCCCAATCCTCCTTTCAAGGAGTAGCTGGTGGATTTGAACTGCCAGTCTTCTGGTTAGCAATCAAATGCTTTAGCCATTATGCCACCAAAGCTTCCTAAGTACAGAGGCCTGGACTTTAAATTCCATTTTAATGTCTGTCTCATCAGCGGGTACAATCGTGTTATGCTGGAGCATCACAATGCTTACAGACCTGAATGCAAACTGTGGGCCTCAGGAAATACTTCATCTTCTCTAAAATCTCCTTCTGCAGAAGGTCCCACGCGACAGTCTTCTCCAGGTGCAGCACAAAAGGCAGTCCGAACCTAACAGGTAAATACCGCAGTAACCTCAAAAATATGTCAATTCCTTAAACACTGTAATCCCTTAATCTTGATCTTTTCAAACAGAAACATAATAAAATTGGTTTGGGGACCACTCTCAAAATAAAACAAATAGGAAACTTAAAACTCTCGCAACTGGGTGAGACAATCAGAAGCAGATTCGATTTCTAAAGGAAATTCAACAGCTTATATACCAAACACTCCTGGGGAGTATGATGCTAGGCTCTGAGGCAGCCAGGAGACAAGAGAAAGAGAGAGAGCAAGGCAAGTGGGCTGGGAGCGGACGTGAGCTGACAAAGAGCACGAGTCCAACAGAACAGGGGTGAGATGCCAGAGGAAGAGAGAGTAGGCAGGCAGCCATATCCTGGTCATCTCTGATGACTCGGAAGGCACTGGCAAGGAAGTAACACTGACAGTCAGCTCCTACCCGAGGGCAGAAGCCATCTGGCCTATGCCATGCTTCCTGTATCAGTGTTGGGCTGACAGGTATTAAGAGAATCAGAGACAGTAAAGCGGTTCTCAGCTGTACACTGAAATCACCTACCAAACGAAACTAAGCCCAGTGTCATCAAGGTGACTCCAACTCATAGCCACCCTACCGGAATAGCCCCACAGGGCTTCCAAAGCTATCAATCTTTACCGAGGCAGACTGCCTCAACTTTCTTCCATGAAGCAGCTAATGGTTTAGAACCACTTATCTTAAGGTTGGAAGCCAAGTGCTTTAACCAATGAACCATCTGTGCTCCTTGAAATCACCTAAGGAGCTTTAAAAAATCACTAGTACCCAAGTTCAACCCACACACATTTTGATGTAACCAGTCTGGTATGTGGCCTGAGCACTGAGGTTTTTTAGGGGCACCTCACGTCATTCTAATATACAGCCAAGGTTAAAAACCATTCGCCCAGCCCAACTCTCACCCAAGCCCCAGTCATTCAACCCTATTTACTGTCCTGACTGTGTCCTGCTTTCATATATCCATTTTTCGCAGGCAACTCCCTCAGCTTAGATTAGCCTTCCCACCTTCTTATAGGCTACCTCCTACTCATCCCTATCAAGCCCCAGCGGAGTACTCCTCCCTAGAAAACACACTGCTGGTTTGTTATGCCAACAACAGCACTAACAACACTGTGCTGTAAATACTGTCTGCTTACAGGTCTGTCTCCACCAACAGACCATAAGGTATCTGACAGCAGAAACGTGATGTGATGGACTTACATGGTGGGGTTCTTAGAACCTAAGAACCACAGCCAAGGCCTAAAAAGCAGGAGATGCTTAATAAATGTCAAATGAATGAATGAATGAGCAAGTGAATGAAGGAAAGAGGCACAAAGATCAAGAAACAACCATCAAGCAGCTCACTCACGACTGCTTGACAGCAAAGCTATCTACCTAAAAACTACTGTGATCTGAAATAAATCACGATCAGTCAGTCAGTCACACATCAATCATCCAGGGATTATTTTTCATATGACAACGTTTTCACTCTTAAGATATCAGCATCAGGGTTTGGAGCAAGATGGCAGCAAGTATCTCATCCCTCAACAAAACACCAAAATATAAGAAACAAGCAGAAACTGGCAGAACTAACTTTGCCAGAACTCTGGAGAAGAGTCAAAAGGTTCCGGCAACCAAGTAAACACTAGATCAAGAGAAAGGTGACATACAAACAGCAGGAAAGCTTTGGCTGTCTACAAGGCTATGCCCTTTCCCTTCCCAGCTCAGTGTGGCCATCTTAAAGTGGCAGCTCACACACCAGGAGAGGGAGTCTGGTTTCTGGTTCTACATGAAGCAGAGTAGACTTTTATTTGCAAATTTCTATCTGTCCCAACCTGCCTAGGGGCTGATGCAGGACTGAAGCAAGGTGTTCAATCTTGGTTTGGACTGCGTCCAAGCTCTCAAAGAACTGAGGGACAACACAAATATTCTAAGGCTTTAAGAGCCTGTAGGTGCATGGGGCTAAAGAGTGCTAGCAAGGCATACAATAGGTCCCTAATGACTAGAAGAAAAGGCTGCAGACAGACTTTCAGAAATTAAGGCTTTCAAAAGCACTGTGGAGGGTGCAGCCAGAGGGGACTGAGAAAGCCCCGTGCAAGCTCAGGGCAAGCTGTATAGGCAGCAATTACCTGAGAAGACCCCACATTTTCACCTTGGACTGATCCAGTGCACACTTAGCTAAGTGCTACAGGATGGCCCAGGCAGAGCCAGATGGCAAACACTAGGGGAAATTTTTCCTTGTATCATTTTTTTCCTTATACTTCCCCTGGCATTCAGAAAAATCTACGTTAAAACACTAACTGAATGCCAGCTAAGATATAGAGATCTCATGCACATTAAACAAGGCAGCATTTGCAAAATACATAGTTAGGGGAAGCTACCAAACAAACAGAGAACATGAGCCTTTAATGATTTAAAAGAAAAACACAGCAACCCTAGAGAAGGAGAAGAAACTGATTTCGGTCACCACATTAAACTATTCAAATATCCTAGTTTCAGGAAAATATAACAGGGTATACAAAGTACAGAAAAGGACGGTCCAGCCAAAAGAACAAACTAAAGTGAGAGAAACCTTTCGTGGAAGCCCAGTGAATGAACTTACTGGACAAGAACTTTAAAACAACAACATGAAATATGCTCAAAGAACCAAAAGAAAAAATAAACAGAGAACTAAAAGAAACAGAGAATCATTAAAGAGATAGGAACAAAAAGAAAATAGAATGAAAAAAAGTAAACAGAGCCTAAGAGACTTGTGGGACACCATCATGTAGACCAACATTCTGTATTTCTCAAGAGAGAAAGGAGCAGAAAGAATATCTGAAGAAATAGTGGCCAAAAACTTCCCCACATCTGGTGAAAGATACTAATTTACACATACAAAAAGCTCACTGAACTCCAGCTAGAGTAAATCTAGAGAGAGCTATACCATCCGAGCCACCACGCCACTTCCAGGTTTACTGACTTGAAAGCAAAGACACAAACAGATGTACACTAAGGTCAGTACAGCATTTTCACAACAGGCAGAAAGTGGAAACAACCTAACAATCCATCAACAGACAAACAGATAAACAAAACGGTTGATACAGACAGAAAATGGAGTATTATTCGGACATAAGGAGCAACAATGTTCTACAATATGCTACAACGTAGATGAACCTTGAAAACATGATGCATAAAACAAGACACAAAAGGACAACTATTGCATGATTCCACTTATACAAAATATCTAGAGAGTAAAACAAAATGCACTGAGGCCAAAGCTCATTTGTTGCTTCCAGGAATGCTGGGAGGGGGCTATGGTAGGCACTACTCAAAGGGTGCTGAGTTTTTGTTAAAGGTGATGAAAAATGGGTCATCAGTGATTGTAATTAATGTCACTGAACTATATCCTCAAATACTGGTTAAAATGGAAAACATTTTATTATATACTGTTTGCCACAATAAATTTAAAAAAAAATTTTAAAGGCTAACATAAAATTTATCCTGACAAGTGTCAGAAACAGAGCTTTTTCTTCCTGAAACATCCCTCATCTGTTCCTTGTTGTTACTCAGATTATATTACTATTTTGATAAAGTTACTTTCAAAGGTATTCTAAAACTCCCATAAATTCTTACAGAGGGAAACAGATTTGAGAGAGACATCCCACTCACAAGTTTCTGGCTTGTACAGCTAAACGAACAGTGGTGTCATTTGGTAAGACAGGAAATACTGGTGAGCCAGGTTTAAAAGGAAAGATAATGAGTTCAGCTTGGGGACTAAGTATGAGGTACTGTACAATTCAAGTAGATATATTAAGAATTTGAGGGGGCGGGGACGGGGACTGCTGAGGAAGCACCAGATACAGGATCTAGAGCTCCCAGAAGAGCCCACCCTGAGAACAAGCAGGGACAGGTCTTTAACCAGACGAGCTGCAAGCCTTTCGCAGAGCGCATTCTTCCAATTACACAGCCCACTTCAGCAGCAACAACAGAAACTTACACATCTTTCTAAACAGCAGAATCAAAAATGAAGTACTGAAAATAAGGACTTTTCACCCCTACTTTTTAAAAGCATTTAAACTCTTAGACTTCTAACATCTTAATACTTATTGGAAAAAACACTTGGTTTTTACCTTTTTCCTTGCTGCCCAGTGCAGGCTCGATTACACACCAAAAGAACAATCTTGTCACCTCCCGCTCTCGTGGAAGGCAAGTCTATTTTCCCTTGCTTTGCTGCTGTTTGCGTAGGGGAAGGCAGTCTATGGTGATCCAAGCCAAATTTCAAGTGGTTCAGGTTGTTGTTCAAAAGAATTCCTGAAATAGAATGAAAACTTGTTATTTTCTCTCTTCAACATTCTTTTTATTCATTCATTACAAAGAAATTTACACAATAGAGAAAGTAAGGTGTCACAATACCTAAATTAAACTACAATCAGGAAAAGAAAAAAAGAGAGAGAGTGCTGTCTTGAGATTTCCCATCTAGCCTCTAATAATTTCTTCAGCAGCCCTTATTTTCTTTAACCTAGCTTTATTTAGGCTTCTTCGAAACAAAATGAAACTCACTGCCATTGAGTCGATTCCGACTTACAGCAACCCCCTCTGGGTTTCCAAGGTGGTAAATCTTTATGGAAGTAGATTGCCCCATCTTCCTTCCTCAGAGAAGCTGGTGGGTTTGAACTGTCAACCTTCTAGTTAGCAGTCAAATGCCTTAGGCACTGCGCCACCAGAGCTCCTTACCTATTTTTAAAACTGAAAATTAAAATTCTTCATTTCAGTAAACATTAGATAGTTTTAGAAGGGCAAGTTTGTTGAGATGATCTACCAGAATAAATTTACAGTGAGCCCATGCAACAGCAATCAAAAAAAAACTTTTTAAAAATAAAGACAAGTAAATATGAATGGATCTTCAGTTTTTCAATGGCAGTTTCTTCTCCCTAATTAAAGAAAGAGATTTATAGGCAACAAAAGATAACTACCCTTACTCCACCCAGAGCAATTATAAGAACATGCCAGCTTTAATACAATCAACTAGACTGGATCAACCTACATTAAAGTGAACAAAATGTAGGTTTGCTAGGCGTGGAACTGGTTGTTGAAAATCATTTCTTCAGAAATGCCCCAACACAGGACAATCAGAGCTTCCCAGTAATTCACCAACTATCACAATGCCTTGTACTAGTAGGCGTTCCAGATATGCTGAAATATATGGTTGTTCATTCCCTGTGATCAAGATTTTCATCCTTGGAAACACAGCTCAAGGCAATGGTATCTCAACAGGAGAAGAAAGAGACCTCACCACTTCTGCCACCCCCAAAAAATATGACCACCAGGAAAAGAATAAAATAAAAAACAGCTTACACATAAGTATTCCTAGGAGAATTCTGGCAATAACTAAATATCCAAATATCCGGTAATGTACAACTTGCTGAACCTATTTAGGTATATCAGCAAAACACCAATTTAAAATGACAAATATAAGGCTGGTACCAAAATAAATTCCTAATAAATTAGAGTTAAAACACACATACACAGAAACTAAAGTGAGGAAAACCTGAATCCTCAAGCTACCAGAAGAAAGATGATTTTTTAAGCTTAAGCATCATGAAGAAATTACAAAACAAAGGGAAGCAGATTTTATTTCTGCAGTATAGTAAATTACATGGTATGGCTTTTCTAGCCACAGTCTTTGGAACTCCCATCGGAGGATTACTGGGTGGGACCACGCAATTTAAACTCCCAATTGTTATCCACCTGGGGTATTTCTGTTGGAGCAGCATGAAGTAACCTTCTAGGAAGTTCACTCTCTCTCAGTTGTGTAGAATTCTGATGTTGGGACTGGTTAGTTTTGTCACTCTGCCAGACTTAAAGTGAGCCTTCCTAGAGGCAGAAAAGGGAGCTCTGGTAGCATAGTGGCTAAGTCACTTGCCTGCTAACCAGAAGGCTGACGGTTCAAACCCACCAGCCAACTCCTCGGAAGGAAGGTTGGGCAATCCTACTTCCGTAGTGATACTGCCTCGGAAACCCAAGGAGGGGTCGCTATGAGTCGGGGCCGACTCGACGGCACATAACAACAACAACAACAGAGGCAGAAAAGTATCTCTCACTGCTGGCTGAGAGAGACACACTTCTGAGAAAGAGAGAGAGAGAGAAGGAGGGAGGGAGGGAGGGAGGGAGGGAGGGAGAGACATCCCTAAGAGAGAAGCATGCTGCTAAGAGAGATGCACTACTGAGAGAGAGATGTGCTGCTGAGAGAGATGCTCGACTGCGAGATGGCAGCAGTGGAACCAAGAGGAACGAAACAGAGTGACAGGCTTGCCTGGCTCACAGAAGCAGAGGCCAGGCTGAGAGGCCAAGGACCTGAGAGGCATGTCTAAAGGCACAGCAGAGGGGAGACTGTCCTGACCAAAACTGTATCCTGAGCACATTCCTGAATTTGAATTGTAGCATGCTGCTTTCCTAAAAACCCCATAACCTGTGAGTTCTGTGTGACCACTGCAGTGCATTATGAAACCAAGCAGAGAGATGGTGGGTGCTATAGGAGGGACAGTTGGTGTTAAGTCTGGTAAGAGGGCTGGAGGGTGGTGGCATGTCTGGCTTCATTAAGAACAAGCCTTGGGCTGCTGATGGTGATTCTATCTTCCTCTTGTGGAGTTAGAGGAGGTCAGAAGATGCCACTTCCCTGTCCCTTTAGCAACTTCATAAACTTTTAAACTATGGTATGAGAAAATACAAATAATAGAAATCTGAATTTGAGACAACAAGTGACTCACTTCCCAGGTTCTTGGCAGAGGTAAGGAAAACCCGTTCTCTTTGAAGTGATCAGGATCACCAACAAGATGGAGGGTGTGCCACACAACCACACAGAAACCACACTTTGTGTTCCAATCATGGACTCTTACTACCAGCTGTATGACCCTGGCCAGTTACTGAAACTCTCCAAGTCTCAGCTCCTTCATTCATAAAGTAGGGAGAGTAGTAGCCTCATACATATTGAAAAAATATTTGTAAAGCCTTTAGCACAGAGATTAACATATACTGAGTAAGTGGTATATTCCTGCAACAAAGAACTCTGGCTAGAATTTGAAAACCTTTGGTCCTCACCAAATTAACTTCCAAATACAAACTTAGTGGTAACCCTAAGCAACTGGGGTGGGAAGAGGCATTGGGGAAAATTTTGCGTTAAGCAAACTGACTTTGCTGCCCATCAGGCACTATGCTGAACTGCTAGATACACAAAGATGATGCAAAATGTGGTGCCAACTCCTGAGAATTTCGGCGTAGTAGGAAAAGACAGGAGAAAAGAAATCATTTGCAAGAGAATGAAAACTGAAATAGTAACACTTACTGTTGTCAGATGCCCCACTCAAGTACTAAGACCTGAAGATACTAGATGACTCAGAGTATCCTGTAGTTGTTTCATACCAACTCTGTGTACAACAGAATGAAACACTGCCCAGTCCTCTGCCATCCTCACAATCATTGCCATGTTTGAACCCACAGTTGCAGCCACTGTGTCAACCCATCTCATTGAAGGTTTTCTCCTTTTTCACTGACCCCCTACTTTACCAAGCACAATATCCTTCTGCAAGAATTGATCTCTTCTGACAACATGACCACAGCATGAGAGATGAAGTCTGGCCATTCTCCCCTCTAAGGAGAATTCCAGCTATACTTCCTAATAATACACTATTCACCAAATAATAATTAAGATATGAGCAGAATGAAGCAAAATGAGATCTGAGCTGGTAGTGGCAAGTCCAATATACCAAAAAAAAACAACAATGCGATCAAGTCAATTCCAATTCCTAGCAACCTTACACTCAGAAGGAAGGTTGGGCAATCCTACTTCCGTAGTGATACTGCCTCGGAAACCCAAGGAGGGGTTGCTATGAGTTGGGGCCTGCTCTACGGCAAATAACATAACAACAGCAACCTTACAGGAAAGAGTAAATCTGGCCCATTGGGCTTCCAAGGCTTTACGGAAGCAGATTGCCTCATCGTTTTCCCGTGGAGTGGCTGATAGGTTTGAACCACTGACCTTTTGGTTAGTACCCAAATGCCTTAACTATGTGCCACCAGAGCTCCTTGCCCAATATATACAATCTCCAAAAGGTTCAGAAACTAGAAATATCAGATGCCTCTGGAAGTAAGAGGTGAACAGAAAAGAGGCGGCAAAACAAGGACTGGCTGAAAGACTGTTTAAAAAGCAAACACCTCCATTTCCTCCCTGACACAGTGCTACCAGAATGCTCCTCTCCATACCAGCAAAGGCAAAACAGGGAGCTCTGGGCTGGAGGACCCAGGCGCTGGTGAAGATGAGGGCAGTGGACTGAGCAGGATAGGTGAACAAATCAGGCCCCTTCCCAACTCAGCTCCCAGGGTGCTGGCAACCAGGCCATCACCCTCCAACAAGGAAAGCAGAGGAGCCACTCTCCTTCAGGAAATGTGACCAGCCCAAGAAAGACCTGAAGATACTGGATGGTCCAGAGTATCCTGCAGTGAAGCTGACAGTCAGGAAGCCCCACTCAAGCACCACAGGTGCCTCTCAACTTCTTAGGCTCCATCACTTAAACAGGAACAGGTTTACCTAAGAACGGCTTCCAATGAATGACGACACCAAAACAAACAGGGGAAGGAGAGAGAGGAAGGGAACAAGTGGAGGAAACTAGAGGTGAAAACTTCATAAAAACCACCATTACTAACCTCAGAAAGAGGATAAGAAGAAAATACGCCACAACTACAGAACAGAAACAAGGCACTATAATGAAACAAAAACAAAGCAATGCAGTCAACTCCCCCAGAGAAGTTCTCAGAACTTAAAAATATGACAGGAGAAAGTCAAGTCTCAACAGAGGGTTTGGATGTAAAGTGGAAGAAATCTCTGAGAAAGTAAAGTAAAATGACAGAATTGGAAAACAGAGGAATAAAAATAAGGAAATTAGAGCATCAATCCAGGAATTCCATCACCCAAACGACAGAGTTTAAGAGAGAGAAAGCGGGAGGAACAGAAGAAACTACCAACTAAATAATTCAAGAAACGTTCCTGTACTAAAGGACATAGCTTCCAGGCTGAAAGAGGTCACTGAGGAGCCAGCACAGCAGGGGGAGAGGCCGCCCTCCCAGGTACATTATCAGGAAACTCCAAAACACTGAGAATAAAGAGAAGGTACTGAGAGCTCCCTCAGAGAAAAGAGAAAAAGAACAGTTACAAACAAACGAATAGGGATAGAATGGCGTCAGACTTCAGAATCAGAAATGAACAGACGGCAATGAGATCATGGCTTTCTAATTCTGAAAGAAAACCACATGCAACC